TCTCCTCTCCTCTCCTCTCCTCTCCTCTCCTCTCCTCTCCTCTCCTCTCCTCTCCTCTCCTCTCCCCTCCCCTCCCCTCCCCTTCCATTCCATTCCATTCCATTCCATTCCATTCCATTCCATTCCATTCTATTCTTTATGGGGTTTTGAAGGCCCCCTTACTCCAAAAATACTCTGGGCAGCTTACAGTATTTCAAATACATAGTTTAAAAACCTTAACCACCCAGGCAAAACAGCCACAAAAACATTCAATTTTATTTTATTTTCATTTACCCCAACCTTTCCAATTATGGGTCTCTCTGCTAGCAATGTATCTTCAGATTCTTTTAGGGACTGTGTTCCTAACTCGGAGGTAGAGGTTAAAAGTTGCCCACGTTTAGGATAAAAGGAAACCAATGGGTTGAAATTTGGGTACGTCATCATCCCCTGAAAGCGTGCCAGTTGACAACTTCATCAGAACGTTCCAAGCTCAACTCCTTACCCTAGTTGTTCACTTGAGGCCAAGCAATTCAGGATAAGCTGTTTGGTCTACCCTACTGGCAATGACAGTTATGGCCAGTTGGTGTTCCTGACAATCTCATGGAAGTTGCATACGAACAAGGAGGCCATTGACTGTACATTGTGCCTTGCTCATTTGTTTTTAGCGCTAGACATGGAAGGCAAGAAGTTTTCTGCCTAGTTTAGACGGCCTCTTGAGAAGTTACAGCTTTAATGTGGCTGCTCTGAGCCATGGTGTTTGCTCTCTTCAAGGGCAGCTTGGATTCCAGGGGGATCCAGTCAACACATGGAAGGCTATCATGGAGTATCAGTCTTGAAGGCTCCATGTTACCTCTGAGTCAGGGGCAGCCTGTCTGCCAAACCCAGCCGCAGAGGAACAATGATGGGAGAAGGGAATGTTACGGCCTGATCCAGGAGGGCTATTCTTACACCCTTCATCAGTGCATTTGTGCGTGATGCTAAGATCTTAAATTAGGACCGAAGGTGTTCCCTGCTTAGTTGGTAATCGTTCACTGCTTCCCACTGCTTAGGTTCCTGTTATCAACTGACAGCATGCATTGTCAAAATATTTTTTTTTCCTGCTCTAGTGCCAGACAACATTGTCATAAAACTCCTGTCAAAACGGATAAACAGACTGGATTGCTACATTCGAGGTTGGGTATTGCATGGTTTCCCAAGAGATGAAGACCAAGCGAAACACATGCCAGGGGCTGCGATTTATCCAAACAGGTAACAGATCCTCTTTCTTTTACACCTGGAGGATTAGCGCCTTCTCTTGCAACGAACCAGACGGCCAATCTTTCCTTCACTGCCGGCTATGAAGCTGTCTGGGGACAAGAATGAGCCTGGCTCTTTCCAGTTTCTCTCCCCCTGAATAGTGTTCATGCAATGGCTTACCTCTTTTGTTTTTACCATAGGGCCAATTGAAAGGTCAGCTACTGTGAAAAAGAGGTGAATGTCATGTTTGGGGCAGCGGGAAAGAAAGGAATAATTAAAGTTCCTATGCCTATCTAAAATGTAGCAACCCTTGAAATACTGTTGCATTGGTCTACAGCAGCCATCATCCCCAGCCAGCCTGGCCTGTGGGGATGCTGGTGCTTTGCGGTAATGATGGAAGTTGATATCCGCCATGTCTGGAGAACACCAGCCAGGGCAAGGTATGGTCAATTTAAAGCAAGAGGATTTCTTAAATGGGTGAAAATCATCTGTTGACCTGGTTATGTACCATCCATCCATCCATCCATCCATCTTGGTAGGCCATCTCCACCTGGGAACCTGCCAGATGGGTTAGGACTCCAGTTCCCGGAATTCCATAGCTAGCAGGGAGTCTGTAGAACCATAGAGTTGGAAAGGAACCTTAAGATCATCTGGTCTAATTCTTTGGTCAATAGAAGGACCTTAATTAAAACTTCCCTAATAGATGGCTGCCCAGCCTCTTCATGAACACATCTACTGAAGAGAGGCCTACCATGTTCCTCAACTTTGGTTTCCCTGTCAAACCGCTGTTAGCAGTTTGTCCTAACGTTCATTCCCAACCTGCCTTCCCATAACTTAAGCCCGTTATTCTTTTTCCTCCCTCCTGGTTTCTCAAGAAAGAAAATCTTGACCTTCTACTGCATGATCCCTCTTTCAGTGGTCTCTTCTTGCAGCTAACCAGACCCTGTTACTTCCTTTCTTTTTCAAAGGGTTTCACTTCTTTTTCAGTGGGTTTCCCTGATCATCCTCATTTCTCTTCTTGGCACCTTTTTTTTAGTTTTCCTGAATCTTTGGTTAAATGGGGTGCCCAAAACTAGAAGCAAGATTTGAGGCGGGGTCTGACCAATACAATAAAAAATGGCCCCGTTGACTTTCCTGGCTGGATATTAAACCAGAGATTTGGGGCATGCCAGGAAAGGCTTTATCTCTTTTACAAACTCTGATCCCGTCTGAGTTAGAGAAACAGAAGGATTCATATGTGCAAAAGAAGGAGTCAATCTGGTCCATCTTGAGATGCACATTTTGAAATTCCAGTTGATTCTAATGAGAGGTGCACATGTTTATCTCAGGGCCAGATCTGGCCTTCAAGAGAGGAGTGGGGAGCACTAATGGGGTGATAGATACCAGCCCTTCCATGAAAGGGGGTGAGAAAGGAGCAATTTGTAGAATCACACGTAGCTCCTTGGTAGAAACTGGTGCTGTAAATCACTTGTTTCTGGCACAGGTTATAAAACATTCAGCCTACAGTGAAGTGTGTTTCTAACACCAAGAGGGGGAAAAAAACCCTTGAAATAGAATTAGGGCTTAGAAATCAATCTGGGAACAGAAGCAGAGGGGTATATATCAAACCAATTGCAGCTCTGCCTTTTTCTCATTTTTAGGTGAGCTGAGGTTGATGAAATTAGATTAAAATAAATTTACATATATATCAAGTTTATTAAAATCCCGTCACATCCCTAAACAAAGTTATTGGTGAAAAGGTCTGCTTCTTCTGTACTGGGATCTGCCTGTTGGCCTCTCTAGTTGATCAAAAGCAGAATTACTGTCAGGACATCAACCTGTAAGTCTGTTTCTTAGAAGTAATAAATGGTTTCATGTTCAAATACTGTGTTTTATCTGACTTCCATCCCATAAACCTGCTGCAAATACCACTAAATTATATAGCATTGAACAGTATCAGTCTCTGGGCTCCTTCAATTTATGGAAAGGAAGAGAAAACAAACCAGTAATTGATAGCAAGGAAGAATGAAAAATCAAGTTATTTGAGTGAAGTGGGTGGGGAAAATTCCTCCAACAAGAAGAAACAAATTGGGCTATAAAATTTCTTAATATGTAATCATAAAAAAGAGAGAAAGAGAGCAGGATCCCTCATAGCTTCAGCTCTAGCATCCTGCAATCTGCCTCAGGCAAAGATGAGAATAATTTATTTCCTGCTGCCCCAGAAAAGGTATTAGATTTGGCATGGGTCACAAAGCAAGGTAAGAATATTCAGAACAGCGGAAAAGTAGTACTTTTTCTGGTTTCACGTGGCATCAAATTAGCTGGTGGAATTCACAATGCTGGGGTGATGTAAGCTCTCTGCCTAAAGGGCTATTTTTCTTTCTAAAGCAAAGACTTAGTCAGAATTACGGCAGATGCGTTTGTTGACCAGGAGCGCCAACTGGAACATCCATCAACAGAGACTTGGCTTGGAGACTTGCCAAGAGGGACCTAGTTGGTCAGTATGGGGAATTGGAAGTTGGAATCAATGAACCTTTGGTACGAGCCAACTCTTACATCCTTACCGAAAAAAGATGGGGAAAATGTCCTCCGGTTGACTATTCCTGAGAAAATGGATTGGTTTCTCTTTAATTCAGTACAACTGTAATCAGTGGCATTTTCTCCGCTCTTCAGGCAGTTGAATTAGTTAAAAAAAAAAACATACAAAAGGCCAGTGTAAGACAATGAGCCATCTCAATTAAAGATTGGTGTATTTGTAAAAAGGGTAGCACTGTTCGGTGGTGGAGATAGGTATTCATTTGAAGAGCGATGAAGTTGCTTGGGGTGCAAATGCGTGGTTGCTTCCTTTTCTTGACGCTGCAGTCTGCAGACAGATTGGTCTGCAATTCCCATAATTGCCAGTCTGCTCTTAAGAGGGACAAATGGACTTTAGTCTGATGTGTCTGGTGAGGCACAAATGGACTTTAGTCTGATGTATTTGGAGTGAGAGGAAGCTGTGCTAGAACTTCTGGTCTGAAGGCATCAACTCATCTCAACTCAAATCTTTTATTGTGATCACTGACTTTGTACAAAGAACATGAAACACCAAACTATCCAAACCTATTTTAGCCTAGCTTAGCATAGCCTGTTGTGTGTGTGTGAGATCCTAGAGCCAGCTGATAGAGGCAGTCTGGTTTAAAGAAAGACCTCTGTTTACAGAACTATGGCATGCTTCTGAAACATCTCCAAACACCACTGGAAACAGGGGGATAGTTGTGGGATCCATACCTACGTGAAACACCCTTTTCTACCTACTGATTGTAGTCCAGGCAGAAGATGTGTCATAACCAGAAGAAATCTGCTGCTCTTAAGAAGTTGGAGACTGGATACAAACCGGGCACATACATGGAGATCTCTTTCTACCAGCTTGAGGCAGTTGCATTGCATGGATTGGAAAAGAAACGATAAAGAAAGGCTGTTGGCTTGGTGATACTCTTGGGTTTTGGGGACCAGATACACAGAGCTTTCTGACCTCCACTGGTCACCAACAGTCAGCACCAAAAATGTCTCCTTCCAGCCTATATTAATGATGGTGTCTAAGAACCTATCTGTAGGAATCAGTCCAGGGCATCCTTGTTTGATTTAGACTGCAGTGCTATGCATATCTCCTTGGGAGTAGATCCTGTGGACATTACCAGGAACTTTTGAGAAGGCATCCAGTAAATTGTTCCTCGATGGGGATTTTTCAGGTTGACTGAATGTTTTTATTAGAAGTATAGAAGACAAGCATCATAGTGTGATGCAAAAGACGTGTGCTTGGGACGAAAGAGTTCTGAACTCAAGAAGGTGGAAATGCCAGAATTTGAAAGGAGCTTAAAATCCTTCCATACAAAATCCAGTCTTGGTTCACCCTTGGTCATGGAAGAGGACCTACGGGATGGTGGCATTATTGCAAGATTGAGATAGATACCTTGGATATCTACGAGTCAGTCTGTGTATTTCCTGTTCTGGCCATCACTGATGGTTGGATTAATAAGTATAGAATTTCCCAGTCAGTTCCTAACTCTGAACATCTTCCTGTGTAAGCATCTCGCTTAGAATCTCAAGAGACATGGTGGTGGCAGTAACTCACCTAGGTTGGGACGGTGGGGAGGCAAATGTTCACTGCAGCTTTCAGTGCAAATGTGGGCAGCTTTGCTTCTGAGGAATGTGGGTGAGACGTGTTTTCTCATGACATGTGTGCTTAACATCCGAATTAGCACTGGCTGATCAGGGCTAAGGTTCTTTTGAAACAGACTCCACCTTCTATGTTTCTCAGGTGAGAAAATTCCAGCAAGTTTTGAAACCTTATACGTACTTCACAAAAACGGAGCTTTTGGGAATCCGTATTAAAAAGGAGCTGTGTTTTTCCTTCTCTGGCAAGAGAAGGTCCCTCTTTTTGCCTGCACTTAGGTCTAGGATGCACGTTTAAATATCAAGGCAAAAAGAAAAAAAAATCAAGGGATGGGTAGGTGGGGAGCTGCGATAGGAGAATGAAAATGGGGGATTTTATTTTCTCCCACTTGGTTATTATTTGGGCTTTCTTATCTCCGCTGCTAGTTTTCAGGGTGGATTAAAGATAATCAGCTGCCTATTAATGGAGACCTGAACCAGGAGATGGGAGTATGAACCAGCAGCAAAATTCAACGGTTGGGAGAGGTTAATAACTCTATTACTACCAGCTCTTTTCTTTAGCCATTTGAAGAGCTCGGTATTAGCCTTATCTTAGTCCTCCATTAATTGAGCTAATAGAACCTCGGTGACCTTCGCAGGGTGCCATTATCTGTGAGTTTGCCAGACGTGGGTTGGCATACTTATTGCTGAATATGTATTCCGCAGATGTTCCGGTTTGTGTTGGGAGAAAGATTTTGGTTAAAGATCACCTAACTTCAAATCCTCCGTCCCTTCCTCCTCTTAACATTTACCTGCTCTCTTCTGTGGCCCATCGAAAGAAATGTGGAAATGAAAGGACGTGACTTAATTAAAGTCCTTCCCGATTAGATGTGGGAAGTTTT